GGATGGAACCCATGACTGCTAGTGACCTGTGCCACCTGGCCTGCAGCATATGCAACTGAGCCACGAAGGACGGTAGCCGACCATCACGAATGGTTAGCTACCTGCGATATAGCCCGACCCATCCTCCACTGCCATGCAGGCAACTACCACGCAGGTGACTGCGGAATATATTGGACATATCTATATATGACTGAGTGAATGGGATTTGTTTGTACACACAAACTCCCTTAACTGGCGAGTTACAATGATGCCCCTCAGCATTTCGCTTGTAAGTAAACCAAATCCACAGCTTACCTCACTGCAACATAAGAGGTATTTAGGAAACCTATCCTATACATGAACCCTGAGAGATTTCGGTTTATGAACTATGCATCATAGTAATTATCGCATTGTACAGCAACATAGTGTTGTCTTTCTTAAGTAAATATCATATACGGCTTGCTTTATAAGCATTTTCTTACAGATAGATGTTAATTTTCACTTCTTTTACGACTTCGCAATTAAGCGTTGCAGTGTAGTTTCCAGCTTTTTAGTGTTCCCGAAATCGTAATGCAGACCTTTAGCAAAAATTAACCCCATAAAAATCCATCCGTTTAGCTAACTCCGAAACTATTTGCGCTGATGAACAACAGCCAGTATTCGAAATACTGAAGTTGGCGGCTTCGACGGTCCCGCAAGACAGCGTCGCTGCAGCCGTATTGCACTCACTTTAACCGCAGTCTATACATCCTCACTTCTCTTATTTTCCAGATGCATCGTGTGAGACCTCCAGCTCTAACAACACCACGAACGGTCAGTCGGGAACTACAAACTGCTTACCTCTTTTATCCCTTTGATTGTATATTCTATATTATGCCTGTTTTACTGTGTTGTACGACTTCACTTCCGTTCTGCGAACACACGCTGTTCATCGCCCGCTGTGTTCGTCCGCCCGGCGCTCCCGCCAACCGTATTTACCTGTGGATTGTGTGATTAATCGCGTTGTTGCGCTTGTTCTCCTTCAGCTCGAAGATATATCTGGTCTTTCCCCGACTATTGCACACTACATAGTCATCTAACATGGTGAACGTGAACCAAATAAGCTTAGTTCATTGATAGACGTTTTAAACAAGGCGCAATGTGGGTGCGTTGCATGTATATGTTATTCAACTGCAATTGCCTCCTATTAAAGTCAACATTTGATTTCACTGTGTTTAATCCTTATTCACACGATGCCTTTCATTTTGGCTGGCGTACCCAAACGGGGACCGTCGAGTCCGCCAATAGCGCGATTTTGTATACGGGCTGTTGATCATCGGGATCTGGACTTTCACATCTGGAGGGAACGGGTTTGCGGGCCACGATCAACCGGCAAAGCCAAGAGTATAATGGTAGCGTAGTATATTGATATGCAGTTAAATAATTTGTACATACTATAAATAAACCAGCAGCGGATGTATCCAGCAATCGGTGTCCCGTAGCTTTTATAGTACTAGAGCTTACTGTATCCTTGGTAGCAGGTGCCCGGATTTTCCAACTGCATAAATGAGCCTAAATTGGACCTAGGTTATTGGATAAGTAAATAGTGGTATCGGTTAGTCAGAAAATGAAGAGTAGCCATTTTAAGGGCGTATATGAAGAGTGATACACGTAAAGTGAAGGGGAACTGAATATTTTGCTTATCTCGCATGCTCCTATGTGATTTCGTTTTTTGCGAAACTACTGGGCAACAATGTTAGCGTACTCTGAGAAATAGGTGAACAGGGACGGAAATGGCTGTGAGAATAATATTTGAATGACGGGGTAAACGGATGTGACACAAACAGGCAAATAACCGTGCGATATTCGCATACCTATTTACATATGGGACTAGTTACGGAAGGCCTATTTATAAAGGAGAAGTAACGCGGAAACGTCAGTTGCATATTTGAATGCCTGGGGAAAAGTAAGTTAAGTGATCTAAGGTGAATGAGAAGTGAAAATGCATGTCGGTCTCTGGTCCATATGTGGTGGCTTAATGCTCCCAACGGCGGAATGCGCTTTCATAGCGTGCATAAATAGTTGATGAAATAACTATATATATATATATATATATATATATATATATATATATATATATATGGGATTGAGGTCACTAATGCGTACATTTATGTATGCATACTGCTTTCTGAAAGTGAATGCATATATTTAATTACAAGTATACGCATTTCTAATTTTGCCAATTTAACGTGATTAAAAATGGTATTGCTCCTCCGGTCTATCCACGCTTATATCCTTATGTAGGAAGACCTTTGTACACGTTTTATGGTAACACTGATCATCAGTACTATGCAATTTAAGTGGACGGCACTTTACTAGTCCCCGCTGCGATTACCTAATGCAAATCCCCGCAACTGGACGTCAATGGACCAAAGTATACGTTGTTTTCATTTCAGAGATATATTTGATCGTGTCCATACGTAAATGAGTAAATACTTAAGTACGTGCTTAGCAGTTTTCATAGAGTTTAAGCGGTTTCTGTAATTATACGTAGCAAAGTATCAGGAGTATAATAAGTAGGTTACGCATTTCATGCATAAGCTAATACGGTTCTTAAGAATAATACTAAGGGAATTTTATCACGTACAGTATATGCGGAAGTTATATGAAACATAGGGAATAATAAGATGGCAAAAGCAGAAGTAAGAATGTCAAGGAATATGGTTGACATGTTTTCATGCAATTATCCTCACATATATACGCAAGACTGTATGTAGCTTTATGTTCCTGCGAACGTGACGGGTGCATGGTAAGGTCATCTGATTGCTTCACGGGTGGCATTTGTTTGTTCAGGCAACCGAACCCAAGTGTTGGCCGCGATTGGTCGCTTGCACGATGCACGGAAAAATAGCATAGGTTCTGTAGCGGCGGTGTCATAAAGGTCATTAAACAGGTATACATTTTTTGGCTTCACCGCAGTAAAGTAATGGAGCTTAGTAAGCTTATGTATGTTCTTCAGGAAAACCTAATTATGGCCTACAGCGACACTTAGGTTATCGGCACCAGGCTCCTACATGAACGGCCTTCGCTTAGCCTAAGTGGCTTCCATGATATTTGAATCCATGCAGGCTCTAGGGCAGCCTCACATACTTGCTGCGCATGCCTTAAAGGCTTGTTTTTAGTAGTGCTATAATGGTCGCAGATCATTGGTGTCCTTAGCGGACCCAGCATATCTGCTGTTGTTGGAACCATGGTCCTTAAATGCCGACGGTTACTAAGCCCATAATGGCCCGGCAGCGGTCGTATAGTAAGCACGGCTAACAAATCAAATGAGAATACATCTGCACGCTCCCAGAAGTGGTTTCAACTTTGCCCAGGTCAGCTGCAGCAGGTTTGCCGCTATGGAACGGGCAACCATTGGTCTCACACGCTGTCAAGGCTAATAGTAATAAGTCTAGGTATGTCTTACGGCGTTGGCATCATAATCAGCACGGGGGAGGACTGCGGTATAGGCAGAGCGCGCCTCCCTAACCCGTGGTTATGGAATGCATATAGGTCGCATAGCAGGCATTATTGTTGCTACGAGGGAAACCGCGGTGGTAACCTTAGGCATTGCGACAAAAAGAACGTAAGTAATGGGCTTTATTAACGCTGCTGATACAACTGGAATTGCGTCACATGGCTTTTCATTTGTTTCTGTCATTGTATGCAACTGCGTTTAATACATTATGCTGAGTAATCGTGGCAATATGGAAATGGTAACGAAAAAGAGACACTAATGGAACGCTGACGTCTGTACCGATTCCGAGTATTCACGTCATCGTGGGGAGCGTGTGAGGGGCTCTTGACCCACAACGCGCGAACACCGAGGAATGGTAAATGGAAATGTATTCCGTAGACACACCTGAAAGCAATACGCATAGATGTAACGTGGAGTTGACTTACTTAATCATATGGAGGCGATGTAGCGCACCTCCCGATGGTAGAGTGTATGGTTCACGTCATAAATGTCTTAGACAAAATTACCAGGAAATAAAAGTTAACGTAGTTCGGTGGTAAACGTTTGATAACTTTTCATTGCGGTGCCACCTAACAACAGGAGAAGAGGGTACGGGAGACTGACCCATCGAAGCTACAAATTCCACCATTGCTAAATGTTTGGTCTGGCATTGTCACTTACCTTGTCTGGAAGTTGATTTCGGTAATGGTGCAGTGATCATTTCTGCCATGTCAAAACCACGGTAATGCAGCGGTTTGCGGACAGGCGGATGAGATAATTCGCACCAGCGGCCGCGGACTGCGAACGACACGGTCCGCAGTAAACAACGTGCTTAGCAACAACGTGCTTAGGCACTGCACACCTCTCGTATCGTTGGTCAAGGTTAATATACAATGCTAGACGTCAATAAAAATGAAATTTGGTCTACATTTGCAGTATTGAATCACTGCTGAGTAGGTAAGGGTAACTTACCGGTTAATACATAGGTTATCTCCAATGCATGGCGCTATGAGTGATAAGTCGTAACTAAAGAGTTGGTTAATGAAGCGAAAAAGTGAGATTGTAGCTGCTACGCTGTCCGAAAATCCAGAGAACCGTTACGACATCAGTTGCACACAGTATCCAAGTGGACTGTCCAGTACGTTATTCGGTGGACGATAACGGATCCACCCACTGCACCTATGTCCCAGTGCTGCAACCGTTGAAAGCCGTCCGGTGTTTAGGCAGTGCTTGCAGAAGGGAAACGCAAGGTTATAACACATATGGTGGACTTGAGAAGGGCCGTGAGGTCGTTCAAGCAGACATGGATACTGGCAACCAGTCAGGTTTCGGAACTTTACGTGCAATAGCTACATACTATCGGGAAGCCGCGGAAGCTCATACCACATAGCGAAGTCATAAGTGACAGGTGCTATAAAAGCGAATTATATACATTGAAGTCACTTGCCTGTGTAAAGCGGAGGCTGCAGTTTTACGGAGGACGCTGGGTAAGGCAGTGGCATTCAACGGATCCGGGAATTGTTAAAGTTTCTGTTGATAGGTAAGTGAATGAAAGAAACACACTTACGTGTTATCGTGATGACAGACGTTACTGCTTGTGGCGATGCCGTCGGAGGACGCTACACAACAAGACGACATGGGGGAGGATGTGGCGAGTAGGTTACGTGGGCTGAAGCAGAGTGTATGCCTTTAAGGCACTTGTCTGTGGACAACCGTGGCCTTAGTGTTACTGTAGACGCTGGGTAAGGCTGCTGCACGCGTTGAAACTGGGCATCGTTACCATTTCTGTGTAAGGATAAGGGAATGCAATAAGCACACTTCGTGTTATCATGCTGCGGTAGGTTACGGCTGTGGTTGATGTCGGCGGAGGATCCTACGCTACACGGCGGCATGAGGGAGTATGTGGCGAGTGTGTTACGTGGAATGTAATCGGAAGAATCCGAACGCCAAACCGTAAGGATCATCTGCTTCCATGTACAACTATGTGAAAGAAGGCCCGTTATATTCCAAGTGAAATCATGATTCCGACGAAGACGAGAATTAGGTAAAAAGGAAATGTCGTGCAATCAGTAAAACAGTGCTGACATGTTCACTTAACTGATATCCTTAAGAAATGTACAGAAACCGAATTCTACCGCGCAGTATCATATCCATGCACCTTTTGAAACTGGTTCCACAGAATTACCTTACTACAGCGCTGCCTTGCCCAACAATCTTTTCGTGGTGCCCAACGAGCCATACGGCTTTCCTTATTGTGTAGCAGTGCAGCCGCGTGCTCTCTGATTGTCTCACTGACTCCTGCTTTCCTGGGCACAGTGGTGCGGATCAGCTGGAAGAGCCTGAAGTAATTGCCTACTGCTCCAGCCACCTCCATTTCTTGGGCCCAGTGGTAAACCAGGCATCCTCGTCAGCACGTACGCTATGCTTTACTTCCCGCCTAATAGGCCGTCCGGTCACTTTGTGCCCATAGCCAGGCTGGAGGTTTCTTCTAGATTCCAACAGGTCTACGGACGTCTCAGATATATAGTGACTGGTGCCTTGACAATTGAAAGTGTCACAAGCAGACGCTCCGGCGTCGTGCATGGCGGCCGGAAGCCCATTCCCCTTAAGGTCAGTGTCATAAAAGTAAAACCGTAAAAGGTTGGTTTGTAGTGTGGCTTGATAGGCTTGTTTGACCTAGGGCGGAGACAATTTCTCAGTTGCCAATCGGAGTGGACGCTTGGTGCGCCTCCCGGTACAGTTCATGGAGGGACGACAGCGCACCAAGTTATGATCATAGTCGACACATGTGCACCAGTACGACCGGCAATCCTGGATGGAAGCACGCCATCTGTAACTTATGGCTATGTTGTCAAACTGGGTCCATCGCTGGCCAGCTACCGGAGAACGCTAAACGGAACGTCGTAGTCCACTGCTTCGTAAAGCAGTGCTACTAAGAAACAACCTTCTCTGCGCGCAATTGTAGGAGACGCCCGCTAATGTTAGTCTATTCGAAGTTAAGCCCATAATTACCACCCGAGTGAGCATCTGAAGAGCACAAACGCCGTACTCTTGCCTTTCGGAAACACAACGCACTCATCAACACCTGCGACCACGACTATCATGCATCTGTACGCTGTCTTTTCTCCAGGTATTTCACCGGGAAGAGCACCAAGCGTATTCTGCGACGGCTCACTGAGTATCACGCTTAGCTTCGGTCAGCCTAGCCCATTAGGACGCACTGTGTACCGAAATTTCGATGTCTTATCCTAATGACACTGAGCTTCTTCGGATTGGTATCTCTGCCACCATGCTTGAGCATCTGCTTGCGGCACCATAAATCGTCACTGCACCGGTCACTACATATCCGACAGGTTGGTGAACCTGTTGCAATTCGGAGGAAACCTTTCCGTCGAGTTTTAGCACAATGTGACCACACGGGCTATTCCGCTCGACGTGAAGCGAAGCCTAATTGCTGACAAGGAAGCCTGTTGGAGCAGTAAGGCTAAAGAGAGGTAGGAGGCAAGGATGGCCGCACAGCAAGTGAAGTCAGTTCACGCACTGCACAAGCTGGAACGGACTTCTTAAACCCGGCGGCATCTTTGGCGACAGAAGGCATTTTCCATCCCTTTGAAAGGACGTGTACGCAAGGCCAGTGTGACGGTCCTTCAGTTTTATCACAGTGACGCTTGAACCATTCCGTCTGAAGACCTGAAGCCACTTCAAGTGCTTGAGCACCAATGCCGGCGAAGCCTTGTTGGTGTCCGATACCATGATCTGTGCACGCGAATAACGCGCAGTACTATCCATGCCATCTCCATGGAACAACAGGTCGCACTGTTTAAGTTGATGGCGTTCCTAATGCACTGCGTATAGCAAACGACCAGCGTACTAACCATAAACTAAAAACGAACTCATCATTGCCCGTTAGGTAGGACACATACGGAAACTCCACAACATGTACGATGCCGTATGCCTGCTGGAAAATGACGGCCAGAATTCGCTGGGGATTTCACTAAGCGGTGGCACACACATGTCTAATACGACGTACGATGACTGAGCAGGTACACATTCTTACCGTGACTTGTACTATACCTGTGGCGGTACATTTATTACACCATGGTAGTCATTCATACTGCGGAGCCACATCTAAAACAGCCTTTATGCACTTCAAAGGAAACGTACATGATCAGAACAGGGATGCCTTGCTGCAACTGTGTGGATCAGGTAACACGGTAAATAACCGTTAAATCACTGATGAGTGTAAACGATTACATCTTATGAAATGTTGACAAATGAGCGACATGCAACAGCTCTAAATTGGGAGGAAATGCATATGACACTAGCGAGCATCAGCCGCGGTGTCCTGTTGGAAGCTACAGGCTGATTTCACTCACAGACGCGCTTGCTTGGTGTACATGGGTCTGTTCTCGGACAGGGTCACTTCCTAGCCTTCACTGATGACGTTATAGCGTAAGTGCAGTCTTCACTGCTGTTATATGTTAACGCCGCGAAAGTGTAGCGCACAATTAACCTTCCAGAAGATGCCCACGTACTTCAGACGGACCTCGACCGTCTACATCAGTGGTCCATAGAAAACAACCTTTCATTTAACGCTTCTAAATGTCGCGTCCTTTCTATCCGCCCTTCCGCTTTTTCTCCTATATATTACCTGGGAGCGTCTATCCTCCAGATCTCTTCAGCCAAAAGAGCCTTGGGTATCATTAGCCAGACGAGTCTTTCCGTATCCGCTTCCTGCCGTAAAGCAGCTGCTGTTGCTAACCGCAAGATGTGATCGTTGGAACGAGCCTTCGGTCATATTGACCCCAGAAAACTCCGCCTAATCAACCCTTTTCTTCGGCCCCACTGGGAGTCTGCTAATCAGGCTTAAAGCCCCTGTTTATTGAAGGACTAAGTTATACTCAAGGCACCAAAACGTCGAGCAAGAAAACCAGTCTGAGGTCTCAAGAACCTAGAGTATCCACGATGACTTCATTGCCTGGATCTCTACTCGCTTACGTACTGATGTCTCTGGAGCGACCTACTCCTTGTATTTATGATCTTATCCAAACCTGGACAACTCTGTCGCCAACTACTCGCACTGCAGCAATCGTGCTCTCATCCACGCGGTCACCCACTGAGGCACCCACATCGGCGCAGTCAGCTGAACTGCAGACGACACTACTTCGCGTTATGCATCTGCGAGCGTGCAACGCTGGGCCTGCCGATTAAGTCCTCGCACCCACTGGGGGATTTTGAGGCCAGCCAGGGTTGTCATCTGGCCGAGATTAACCGGAACAGTCCCTGGGCCAACTACCTTCTACTTGACGGAGTTTCTCTTCTTTTTGCTTTTCTACCTAATTCCTTTCCATAGCCGTTTCGGAGGGCGTGGTGGGGTGCATTCTGTGTACGTGCCGCATACGTCCGACGTATATACAGCTAACACGTGAGTCCAGCCCTCTATAAGGTTGCATGGGCTTGCATTAGACCAGACCGGAATTCTTTTGACCCTATGGGTCATGTAAACCTTCAGCTTTTATTCCCATACAAAATCTGCAGGTGTGTTTTCAACTCCGAAGGCAATTCCTCTGCCTTCAACAGTTCGTAGCCTGTCCCAGGGGTCTCACTTTCAACACGTGGTCCGTTACATGTATGGTTCTATTACGGCGCAATGAAGCAGCCGAGGCGATGTCCAGTGTATCCTGCATCCAAAAGTGCATAGGCAGTTAACCCAGTGTCCACATACCGGTACCTAGCCTATCGGTTACGTGACACATAGGAGCACACGGCACACGCCACTGATGAGGAAGTTCGCAGTCGCACGACTCCACGGTCACATCGTAGGAACGGGCAGCAGTACCACGAGCTCAAAGAAGCTAACCGTTGTGACCAACATCCTGGACAGCGGTGATACGTGCGCTCCTCCAAAGTCGCATAAATTTCTTGGAAGCGAACGGAAAACCCGAAAACCTCGGTGCTGCCAAGGACGATTCCGGGGTGGTATGTAATGGACGCGCTATGCCTGCCAGGAGTTTGCAGCCACTCCTGAATCAACGTGTTTACACGATCAAGCGCCAGCGAAAACAAGGTATGCAGGGAAGGTTGCTCGGTAACTTGCCTCTTCGGGTGATTGTTCACCTTCTTAACCCGATTTTTTGTAACGCAACCGAATAAGCAGACCCCGCCAAATCTGTGAGTAGCCCAGGACGGTGTACAAGGCAGCCACGTTCGCTGCAAGTAGCTATACTCTTCCGCATTCCTCCCCTATCGCCCTCAGCAGTCTGTCATACTGCTCGGCATCACAAGTATAGATCACTTTATGCAGGCGGTGCAGCAGAAGGTATCTGTCGGCTCAACTTGTTCCCAGAAGACGAGTAACCCAGCTGGACATATACCTCAGCACGTGAAAACGACAATACACCAGCTATGCCTTAAGATAAGCCTAGTTACCGCCCGCACCTGAGCCATGCTTTCATCCATTACTAGAGTTCGTACAGCTTCCGTGCGAGGTAGCATCACTTCATCGCTTCCACAGCATACCGGTAGCTTTTGCACGCCTTATCCTGCAGCAATCCGTAGAAAAAGGAATGCGCCAAGTCAGTTACAGCCACCAGCATACACTGCCACAAAATATATTCCCCATATTTAACCTGGTAAGTCGCGTCCGCCAAAGTCACTTAGCAGTATCTTTCCGAAATTGCCTCCATAACCGATGGCACGAAGAATAAATATCTCACCGCCTTGCCCTCTTGCAACACCCGACAACCGCCGTGCCGCTCCAACAATTCTGGCAACTCTCCTACTTCCCTTGTTTTCCGCTTCCTGTGTTGCCTTCTAAACATCCTCAGATCATCCGAGTACAACTTCCATCCATGTGCCATAGAAAGCTACTTACGTATTTACCTACAAATGTTGAACACGGAAATCAGGGAAACCCCTCTTTCTCCTGCGCCTCCATCAACCGCCTGTTCTCTGGCTATAGTCATGGCTTCCCAAAATGGAAATCACGACAATGACACAAATGCAATTTACCTAGTTCGTAAAATTCAAACTTCAACTTGGAAGAGAAATGCGCCCAGAAATCCAGCATCCTGTAA